GAGAGAGAGAGAGAGAGAGAGAGAGAGAGAGAGAGAGAGAGAGAGAGAGAGAGAGAGAGAGAGAGAAACATTGTACCATCATCCACCACATTTCTAATCCATCTGGAGTGTCTCGACTGTGAGTCGCTTCGCTAAGATCTAGACAGAGCTGACAGAGATAGAAAGAGCGCACAGAGAGATGGAGAGGGAGACAGAGACAGAGATAGGGACATAGACAGAGACACAAAGAGAGACAGAGAGAGTGTGGATGATCGCACTGAATTTTCTTTTCATGTCGACATGTGGCACAGGAGACGCATGTTCGAGGAACATGCGAAAACCACAAGTGTAGCTGTACAAGAGTTGCAAGGTTTTCGTTAGGCGAGAGTAAGCCAAGTTCGGATGCATCCGAGATGACAGGGGAGCTCTGGCCTTCGGCCCTTTGTTTTGTGTGTCAAATTCGATACATGTACGAGTTCACCTTACTGAAATGTAATGGGCATAATCCGCAGGAAACCAACATATGTTTGTGTAGGATCCTCAGAGACTATATGTGAAACAACTTCAAGCGGTTAGTATAGTCACCTTGAAACAAGTTGAAGGTAGAGACCGGTCTGCTCGAGTACAAATGCGGGTGCTGCCTCCAGCAAGCAGTTTCAGAGTTCGAGCGCCGACTTCGTTCGCTGGCCTTAAATGTGCGACGGACTAACTCAAGTCCTCTATAGCAAAGACCTTAGCCCGTGTTGTGATTTATCCTTCCGTCACCACATCCAATTTTGTCCAATCATGCAATTGTATTTTCAGCCCCGCCACCTTAATTCAAATCTCGTCACATTCAAGCAGCCATTGGCGTCGTCTTTTGGGTTTTCCCTCTCGGCACATTCTAATTTTTCATTCTATTGGGTAATGCATAGGAACCGAATGTATGAATGCTCGTGCAGAGGGGGAGCTTTGCCAGGCCAAAGAATTGACAGCATTCAATGTCGGAATCACAAAGCACACAATGCGGAGGGACAGACGGGCCATCAAATGTATAAAGAGGCCCGTGTGTTGTATTTTGTTTTCTGCGACGCCTCACAACATTCAAAGTGAAAATGCATAGATGAGTGTAGACGATGGGGGAGGTTCGAGAGAGAGGCAGAAAAACATATAGTGAGTTCGAGTCCGGATGCATCCGAGTATGCGGGCAGAACATCACACCACACAAGGCGCAAAATGACGAAAGCGAGTTATTCAATCACGAAACAGGCGCCCTAACAACGGGGACGTTCGTGATAATTGAAATTCAATAAGAAAGAACAATATTGTCGATGACAAACACGCCGGGGACATGACAAGTTCACCCGGAGATTTCCTGGCAGTGACAACCAGTTCTGCTCTGAACCAAACCGAGAACACCCACCAGTCCCTCACGGAAAAATTGAAAAGGAACAAATTTCGTCCGGAGAAGAACGAAATGTTCTTCTACGTCAACCCTTCTACACTACGTGATCAACAAAGAGATAGATGCTTACCTACCAACATCGCAAATCGCCAAAGCTAGTCTAGCTCTGATAGAGGAGAT